AAAAAGGGAAAGATAACAGAGCTGGGCTTCGATTTTAGAAAAGGGTACAATGCTAGGGTTGTAGAAGGGATTCGTTTTCAGGACTACATAAACTACAAAACCGATGATGTAACGGTATCGATACGTGATTTAGAACAACTCTTTAAGGAAGATAAATTGGAAGAATTAAGCCGTATAGAACTCGATCGTATCACTGTTCTATGAGCCGTCCTCTGTTATACTATATTATTTAATTGTTCTTTAAGCTTCTCTAAATCTTCCTTCATTGTCACCACGTGTTGCTGAATTTTTGCATCGTTGGCTTTGGAGCCAATAGTATTGATCTCACGACCTATTTCTTGTGTTATAAAATTTAGTTTCTTTCCACTGGAAGTGCTATTGTTTAGTTCATTTTTTAAAAAATCCAGATGAATCTTTAAACGTACTTGCTCTTCACTAATATCTATTTTTTCGGAATAAAATAAAACTTCTTGTTCCAGTCGATTTTCATCGAGTCCCACTTTATCAAAATGCTCTGCAATTTTTTCTTTTATTTTAGTTTTTATTTTTTCTGTACGACCCTTGTTGGCTGATTCTACCGCGGCTAATTGAGCCAGGAGAGATTCACAATAACTATACATTTTTTTTTGTAATGTACTTCCTTCTCTGATTCTAAATTGATCGCATTCATCCAGAGCTTCAAGAATAGATTTTTTAACCCATTCCCATTCTTCAGGCGTGGCAGTTTCTTCTTCTTTTACGATTTAAGAAGCGTTGAGCGCTAGTTGAAAAAATTATCGTATGGAGCCATAACCTTATCGGCTAGTTTTTTTTCATTGACTGTAAAATAGTGTGTTACAAAAAAAGGGTTTTTCGTCATAGGGTATTTTGTATGAGAGTATGAATACGCTTGTATTCTATTATTACGATAATTTTTCCTCGCTCCAATCTTTCAGATACCCAATTTCTAATATCGGGTTCGTTATGGGAAAACAGACGCGGTAGGTTAAGGTTTAAGTCTATAAACCTTGAGTTGAGGCTTTTTATTTCGACCTCTACTGTTGCATCGTTTGTAGAGGCGAAAGCTTTACCAAACCCGGTCATGGATTTAAGCATGTATGGAACAGATTATCGTTTTACGGTACAACATTAAAAATCGAGCCCCAAGGTAACCAATAGTTGAGCTACTTTTGTTTTATAATTTTCTACAGGCCAAGCTACATCAAATTTCATATAAAAGCCTAGCATTTTAGCACGAAACCCTACCCCATAACTGTATATCCATGGGTTGAGAAAGTCTCTTATTTCTATCTGGAAAGGACTTCCCGTTGGGTTTTTGGGTACTATGCGCGGTACAGAATTATTGATGCAAAAAGAAAAAGGACCGCTCCAGCTTGTTCCTATATAAAAAAGAGTAAACTGCAAAAATGCGAAAAAAATTGGAGGAAAAGGTCCAGAGGACAACGACGAATAAGAGGTAAACGCACCTTTGATTCATCAGAGCTACATGTTTCCATATAATGTGGCGTACTTAAAGCCACGTAATATTCGTTGCAAATTCCGTAAAAATTAAAAATCTTTACTAAATCCTTCCGTACGGACTAAACGGGTTTTCTTTCCCCGTCTGTATTAGCTTGATTCTAATCCAATTGTTTATTCCTCCGAGTAGAATATTTTTGGGCAGCATTACCAAAAAAAGTTCCTATATAGCCCCGCACAGCAAAAACTACTTCTTTATATATTTTTTGATAATGACGCATATCTACGAATGCATGATAAAAACTCAAGTTGTTGTTCCCCAACCCTTCATATTGGATAAAATTTAATTTTCCTCGTGTGCCTTCGATAATATTTAATCCTGTTGTAAGGCTGTTATCGTATACCAACTCTGCTTTATAGCCTCCATATATTTGGCTTTCACTCGGGGAAAATACAGGAGGACCTCCAGAAAAATGAAATTGGGAGCCCCAATCGATGTATTTTGATATCCTAGAAAAAGGCTTAAAAGGTGAAACGCAGTCCCGTACTGAAAATGGAAGCGAGGCTCCCAGTTCTATTTTTTTTGCCACGTATAACTTGTTAACATTAGAGTTCCGTCCCCCCCCCCTCCTCATTAATTATTTTACTCGATACGCGCACTGTATCAATTCTGTGAGGCAGGTATTGTACTTCTCCGAGAGATTACCTCCCTCCATATCAAAGTTAGTTTTTATTCCTCCAAAGAATCGGTAATTTTAAGGATATCATTTATTTGACTTTCTAATTTTAATACTCCACAACCCATTTAAGGGATCTATTACCATACCGTGACGAAGATTTTCATAAATAACGTCTGAGGTTCGTAGAGAAAAAGGTCCTTTTGAATTTGATTTTTTTCTTTTGCCTTCATATACTTGCTTAGGAATATATCCAAAAGAAGTATCGTTATTTGGGCTCGTCTTCAAATGTGTACTGCTCGGTGCTCACGTTTTTATCTCTATTCACTTCTTTCTGTTTGCTGGCTGTGAAGACACTATCGGTAGTATAAATCTCGTCTTCTGCAGCTTTGGGTTCGAAGCTCTTTATCTGTACTGAGTCTACGGGAGTATGTTGTATTGCAGAGTCGTATGGTTTTTTAAGAGCAGTATTTTGATGGGCTTCTCGTGCACGGAGGTTGATAAATTCCTTGATGGAAAGATTCTGTTGAGGAGTTTTTTGCTGTTTTTTTTCTATCAGTCCCTTGGCTTGTTGAATTTCTTTTCTCCGTGTAGAGGGAGTAAAGGTTTGTTGATTATACTTAAATTGGGGAATAACAAAAATATCATCCTTTAGACGTTTTCGGGCTATTAAGGCAAGAGAGGAATTGGCAAAATTTAAGTCGTAGCTTTTTATGTTAGCATAAAAATTAGTGGTTTGTGAATAAATTTTTGTTGATAGGTTAAACCGAAAAATATTTATTATTCCATTTTGATTACTCAGGTAATAAATGTTGTTTTGGTCGTAGGCCTTTGGTTGATAATTCTTACCCAAAATATTTGTTAAACGGGTAGCTACATGAGTCGTGGTATCCAAATGGAATGCATAAAGATTATAATGATCAGATAGTTTGTTAATTCCTTTTTTGACAGTATTTAGGGTATCAGTAGATCGGTTAGAACTAAAAACGATGATGTTAGAGCCTGGGAAAAAAGAAGGGTCAAGATCGTCATAGATATCGTTTGTGAGTCTTCTGGTGCGATTTTTTAGCGTACTGATAAGAAACAAATCATTTTTTCCATCGGAATCTGCACTCAGTATGGCAAGTCGTCCATTTTCAGAGAAACTGAAACTTTTTACGTTGTTAAAAAGATTCAGTTTACGAGGTAATGTAATGCGGGTACGAATATCGTAAAGCCATAACATGTACTGTCCACGTTTCATACCGATTACACCGATCAGCATCCTTAATTTACCCAACTGAATAAGGGGAAATTGTTTTACTTCCTGCCGAAACACACCTTATTGCCCCCCCACGTAAAATGGTAAATTCTTTATTTTTATCGGCGATTTTTTATTTTTATGAACAAAACTTCCCCCGGTTATTTTTCAGCGTAGGCCAGTTTTATTCCAAAATCAGAGCTGAGTTTTGATGTAGTTAGACCACAATTTTTCTATGCCCACTGCTTATCCTGTAGATCTTCGAGAGGAACTAATATTCGGGTCACCTCGATCTTGCTTTCCGTAAGGTATTGCTGCCAATTTTTTATCAACGTTCTAAAAACTTTATACTTAGTATGAAATGAGTTAACTTTTCCTCTCGTTATGCACCACCCGGTTAAAATTCAAAATATTTGAAACACTACTTTTCCCATACTGTTTCTACGATGTAATTCCATATGGACTGACCGACCAACTCAGCTTCTTTTTCATTAAACTGCAATGCTTTGTTGATTTTTTTTGTATAAATCAACCTACAAATATAATCGCCATTCATCATCCCATCCCTTGGGCTGTGGTAGTTGGGATAAAACCCACCAAAAACCCATTCAGGAAAGATTTTGAGTAGTAGAGCATTTTTTAATCTTTCTTTCAGGTTTCCTCCAAAGATCATTTCGTTGATTAGAACCTCGGTGGTTTTGCGTATAAGTTCTTTCTTTAGTTCGTCAGAAGATCCCGGGTGCGCAACCTCTATGTTCGCTTTTATAAACTCTGTCTCACCTCCCGTATTGAACTGAGCGTGATGAAGACCAATATTGGTTTGTTGAAGTTCAGCGACGGAATTATAAAGAAATATTTTAGTTTTAATGCTAGGATAATAACCAATCAATTTTGGTAAAACGATCAAATTTTTTCCAAATACCTGAAAAGGATTCATACTACATTTCTTTCCCCACTGTAGTATAAAAACAAAAAGACTGATGAAAGGTAAGACCACGTTTTGTTTATAATTTGGGTTTTTGTTTTTTCCAAATTTTCTTGGTTTTGTTTCCCCGAAAAGTCTTGTGAAAAATAGGGAAAAAAGGTAAAACAATAAGCGCTTGCTTCATGTGAAGTTATATGATCAGGATTTGATTAATGCAATTTACACAATAAATATTTGTTCTTATATGGATATGTTCTATAAATGATTTGATGTGTCATGCTTGCTTTAAAATCTTGATAGTGAATTTAATACTTTGATTTTTTCAGAATTTTATTTTACTGTGGGGTTACTATAAATGACTTTATTTGGGCGATGGAGACTTCTTGTTTTTATACTCACTGCCCGTTTAAATATTGGAAAAGTGGATTTAAAAAAGACTACAACTCAATACACTGTTTACGATAGTATCTATACGTAATTCAGGGGAAGAAATAAGTAATGAAGAAGCCTAAATAAGGTAATCATCTTTAGGGGCGATAACTTGAAATAAGCATTTTGAATAAATGCCGGCTC